TCTCCTCTCCAGTATTAGATCCAGCATCTTCCTCTCTCTTGGTTTATGTCCAGTAGCTACCAGAGAACAAAAGGATTTTATGATGGAAAACATCTTTATTCTACCCTTACCTTTGATTATTTGGGCTATAGATAGAATCTATGTTGAAAATTATTACTTCCTCAGAAGTGTTAAAGGATTGCTCCATATTATTTTAGCTTCAACATTTGCCATTATAAAATTGATGGCATTCTAATTCTAGATATTTTGAATGTAATCTTTCTCTCCTCTCCTCTCCTCTTCCTCCTCTTTTTACTCTCATGTATACTTGTATCTATTTCAGATTTTAAGATCTTCTCTTTGCTCACAGCGTTCTCAGATTTTATGGTCTATGTTGCTATGTGCCTTTTCTTACCCACTTTGCCAAACACTTGATGGGCACTTTCAGTCTGAAAACTTGCAGGCTTCAGTTCTAGAAATTTCTTATTTATTATTTTGAACATTTACTCCCTGTATATAGCTCTAATCTTTCTGAAATTCTAATTTTCAGTTTTAGAATCTGTAGGATTCATGTTACATTTTTCTATTTTTTTCTCTTTTCTATCTTGTTGTCTTTTTGTTATTTGTTCTTCTTTCTTGGGGATTTCTCCATGATATGCCCTCAAAGAAAAGGATTTATAATGAATATGCGTGTGTTCATGTGTCTAGGATTCATAATGCATAAATTGTAAATATTTTCCAACAGAATGTCTCTCTAAAATCTTCAACTTGATATCTATAATTCAAATTCCACCTTCAAGAAAGATTTGTTAATTGGTACCTCATCATAATGTACTGCTCAGAGTAGCAAAATACTTGAATCAAAACCAAGAAACAGACTTTCAAAAGGAAGACTAAAGCTGTTGAAGTTCCTGGTTGTATTGCCTTTTATTTAACATGATTCTTCTACTGAATAACTTATTAAGAAAATTAAAATGGCCCTTTGTATTATGTTCTCCAAAAACCCATTTATTACAGGCTACCTTGTTTCACAAATAAGGAGGCAAAAAGAGTCTTCGATTCACATTTCTTTTGTGTTCCTTCTTCAACTCCAACAACCCAGACCATTAGACAGCACAATCATGCTTACTTCTCCTCCCTGCCCTATCAAGGTGCCCTTCTCCAAGTAATTGGAGGTTGACAATTATCGCTATCAGATAACATATCTGCAACTTGCCAGAGGCCTTCTTTTCTTAATGCCTTAACACAGAAGATAGAGATTAATAGTGGCACGTGCAATCACTCACTTCTTCAGGAGTAAATTGGAGGAGGGGGAACATTTAGAGCCTCTGAGATCACATTACATAGAAGCAACCATCTAACTCTTGTACTGTATGTGTAGCTGGAATATAGAAAGGTGAAGAAAATTGTCTTCCCCCAAAGCCTGTCTCTTTTTGAACATTTTCTTTTGGTGAATGGCTTAGTAAAGAGTATTCTCTAACTCTTCTCCCTCATTCATATTATTGGTCACCACGTCCTATAATTATACTTCCTAAATATCTCTGGAGATTTTTTTCGCATCTTGTTTCCATTGACATTTGCTGATTCTATGTAGTACTAATTCTTTTCTGAATTACTACGGTAGCTTCTTCATTATCTCCTCAACCTCCAGCCTTTCTTCCATTCTATTAATAATATTTGAATCTATGTTATTGTTAAAAAATTCACAACTGACTGTGTCCACTCCAGTTTAACTTCTTTTTAGTGGCTACGATTACTTATTAAAGAAAACTCAAACTCTAAACCATGCCACTGAGACTGTTATGAGATGGCCTCTTATAGTTCTTCTCACTCCTTACTAACTTATATTCCAGCCAGGAGAGGCTACATCATTTGTGGGGCTCAATGCAGAATGAAAATACAGGTGCCTTGTTCAAATATTATTAAGAATTTTAAGATGATGACAGAAGAGCATTAAACCAAGCATAGGGTCCTTCTAAACATAGAATTTCTTTGAGTGTGCAAATTGCATGCTCATGAAGCCAGCCCTTGCCCCAGCCCATAAAAGCTAAAATTGATGATGATGATGATGATGATAATAATACCACTAATAAAGACACTTTCTCCCACCACTATTTTCAAAGCTCCAAATGTACCATACCATACTTTATTTTTTCTTTGCTCAGACTGTTTCCTTTGCCTGCTGGCCTTCCTCCATCTTTACCTAGCTAAATCTTGCTGTTTCTTTTAAACTCAATTCAGTTATCTTAAACTCTGGAAATGCTTTTCCTTTCCTGTCCCCTCCTCTTACTTCTAGCTTTGATTAAATGTCTCTCTAATATGATCCTATGTACGTACCTTTGTGATAGATTCTGTCATTAAGTTGTTTATATTTTTGTCTCTCAGTCTTGGGACCTGTGATTTTCTTTACATCCCTAGAGCCTAGGACAGTTCTTGGCATACAGTATATGCATAAAAAAAAGATTGTTAAATATAAAGTAAAAGTAAACTTATTTTAGAAATAAAGTTCAGAATTTTATTGCAGCGTTTTATTTTATGACGTATAATTCTTACCTTTGCACATAAAATGCATATTTTGCTGGCATATATCAGATCCAGTGTTAAAACAGTCTTCACTATCTGTCATGAATTAGAAGAAATAATTTCACCTTTAAAATTGATAGGAGTCTCTATTAGAGCTATTAAATAGCCAATTTTAACTCAACCTTTTGATGCATCATATTTCAGCCTAGTGAATAATTAACTTTTTAGAAACTGCATATTTTAGAAATACTCTAGGGCTTTTTTATTTATGTGCTTATTTTTAGCATATATTTCTTAGCTCCTTGCTAATATTTTCAGTGGCATTTAATGTTTAAAATTTATCTAAGAGCAAGAGAAATGGATCTAAGAGTATTTTTCCCTTTACTAGGCTATAGCTGCTTTTTGCTATTGTTGGAAATAATGTTAGTTAATATTTACATTTGAATTTTACAGAAAAATATTGTCTCCTGTGGAGTCATTTAGAGAAATACAAAATCTTCCTTGAGTCAGTTATATAAGCTGTCTCTTTTATGCCTATTTTAGAGATGGAAAACTAACTTCTTAACATGGTGATTTCCCAGATTTACTTACTGATAATATTTTCTCAAGAATAACCTAATAAACCAATTAATTACTCAAAGTATGCATAGCTGAAGTGTTTTCTCCATATGTTGCCTTGCAACTACATAAAATATCAATTATTCATATATACGAATACCTATTTTTAGGCTTCTGATTTGTTCCCTTGATCTATTTTTCTATCTTGATGTTAACACATTACTGGTGCTCTATTATAAATCTTGAGGTAAGACAATGTAACTTCTCCAATTTTGTTTTTTTTTTTTTTCAAAGTTGTTTTGGCTATTGTAGGTTGTTAGAATCAGGTTGGATTTTTTCACCTTCACTTTACTGGAAGAGTTTGTATAGAATTGGTATTAGTTCTTCCTTAAATGTATGGTAAAATTACTAGAGAAGCCTAGAGGTTTTTTTTTTTGAAGTGAAACCTGGGAAGAATTTTAACAGTTTCTTTACTAGATATTGTACAATTTCTTTACTAGATATTGAGTGATCAATGTAGTCTATTTCTTCTTGAGTGAACTTTGATACTTTAGTGTCTTTCAAGGAATTTGTCATTTGCCTCTAATTTGCCAAATTTAAAGTTGTTCTTTACATTTATCTGTGTTCTTCCTGTGTTTTTCATTTCATTGTGTAGACCTAGGTCTTATTTAGAATTATTTTTCTTCTTCAAGGACTTCATTTAACATTTTGTGTCATGGAGGTCTGCTGGTGGTGAATTTATTTAGCTTTTTTATGTTTGAAAAAAAATTTTACTCCACCTTTATTTTTGAAATAAATTTTCACTGATTAGAAGGAAATTCTAAGTTGACATTTAAAATTTTTATTTACCTATAAAAATGTTTCACTGCCTTCTAGCTTGCATTGTTACTTATATAAAATCTGCTGTCATCCTTATATTTTCCCCTTTATATATAATATGTCTTCTCTCAGGTAGCTTTTAAGATTTTCTCTTTATCTCTGGTTTTGAGCAAATTGATTATGAAGTATCATGATGTACATTTCTGTATGTTTCTTGATCTTGGGGTTTGTTGTTCTTTGTGAATCTGTGGGTTTTTAATTTTCTTCAAATTTGGAAAATTTCCAGCCTTATTTAAATACTTAAAATAATTTTATGTTTTTCTCTTACCTCTTTGAGAATTCCAATTACATATATATTAGGGTTCTTGAAGTTGCCCCACAATTCAGTAATTCTCTTTACATTTCTCTTCAGTTTTCTTTTTTTTTTTTGTCTGTGTGTTTCATTTTGGATGTATTTTATTGCTATTTCTTTAAGTTTACTACTTGATTCTTGTACAATATCCAATCTGCCATTAATCTCCTCCAGGGTATTTTTCTTCTTAGACATAGATTTATCTTTAAAAGTTTGATTTGCATTCCTCTAAAATATATGTCCTGTCTCTATTCAATATGCTCAACCTTTCCTCTAGCTTCTCGAACATATGTCCTTTTCTATTAATTTCATCAGATTTTCTTTCTCTGTCCTTATAAAATTTCCTCAAAAGCTGGTTCTTATAAGTTCTCAACTGAGTTCATGATGAGGACCCTGTGTCTATCTCTAAAGTGATCTCTCTGTGTAGCTTCCCCATTTTCAGTACTCTACCTGGTGAAAGAGTTGCTTTGGTTCCTTTCAACTTCTACAACCCTACCAAAATCAAAGTCACTCACTTTCTACACTCATTTTCTTTTTTTTAACCATAATAATATTTAATGTTTTTCAAGATAAATTTTAAGCAAAAAAACACAATGAGATGCTACTTTGTATGTACATTTGCGGATATATACATTCATTTTCTTAATGATTTCATTTATTATTATATTAAAATGTTTTTCTATACTCTCAATGTATATTTTAAGTCTAGTGCATTTATCTGACATCTTCGACTATCTCTTTTATAACATCTATAGTATTCTTTATAATATAAAACATAGGAAGATATAGTTAAAATACTAAATTATCAAATTTTTAAGTTTTTCT